TTCTCTGATGGCTAAGGATGTGGAACATCTCCTCAAGTGTTTCTTGGACATTTGAAATTCTCTCATTGAGAATTCTCTGTTTAGCTCTGTATCCCATTTTTAAATTGGATTATTTGGTGCATTTACACAATGGAGTATTACTAAGCTGTTAAAAACAAGAACACCAGGAAATTTGAAAGCAAATGGATGGAAGTAGAAAAAAATCATCCTGAGTGAGGTAATCTAGACCGAGAAAGACAAACATAGTATGGGCTCACTCATAAGTGGATATTAGATATAAAATAAAGGATAACAGAAGAGACAAGGTAACAAGGAGGATTCGATGGGGGGACACCCAGATCTCTCTGGGAAAAGGAAATAGAAGAGATTTCATGAGTGGATTGTGGGCAGGTAGGGATAGGAACATGAGCGATCAGTTGGTTAGGGGGTGATAGAGGGGAGAGTGCTGAAAGAGACTACTGGAAAGGGGGGAGTGCACTTTGGGGTCAGGTAAAAAACTGGCACAATGGAATCTTCCAGGAATCTACAAGGAAGACCCCAGCGTAGACTCCTAAAAATAGCAGAAAAGGAACCTGATCTGGCCATCACCTGTGGTGACAATTAGTGTAGCTGAGTTGTCATCAGAGAGGATTCATCCAGCAACGGATGGAAACAGAGACTCACAGGTGAACATTAAGTGGAGCTCAGGAAATGCTGTGGAAGAGAGGGAGGAAGGATTGTAGGAGCCAGAGGGGTCAATGACACCACAAGAAAACTCACAGACTCAACTAACCTGGCCTCACAGAGACTGAACAGACAACCAGGGAGCCTGCATGGGACTGACCTAGGCATTCTGCATATGTATTACAATTGGTCTTCTTGTGGGACTCCTAACAGTGGGGACAGGGGCTGTCTCCAACTCTTCTACAGGTGTTTGGGGACCTACTTCTCTTACTGGGTTGCCTTGCCCAGCCTTAATACATGGGAGGTGCTTAGTCTTACTGCAACTTGATATGCCATGCTTTGTTGGTACTCATGGAAGACCTGCTCTTTCCTAAACAGAAGTGCAGGGGGAGTGAATTGGGAGGGGAGGAACAGAGGAGGAGTTGGGGGGGGGGTACTGGGAGAACATGAGGGAGGGGAAACTGTGATTAGGATGTAAAATTAATTTAAAAAATGAAAAGATTTAAAAAGTTATTTATTTATTTATCTATCTATCTATTTATTTATTTATTTATTTATTTACTATTTATTTGTAATCTAACTATTCTTGCTTTCTTTTCTGGCCATTGGAGCTGTTCTTGTATTCTGGACACACGCCACAAGGGGGATTCAGAGTGAGCAAAGAATCTCCTCCATTTGGTAGGAGCTCCCTCATTCTGACTCTTTTGCACACAGGAACATTTTGTTTTGATGTCATCTTACCTGATTTTGTTTTCATGCCATCTAGCCTGATGTTGCTTCTGTCTTCTGTGCCCAGTCCAGTGTCTCAAAGTATTTCCCCTGTGCTTGATCCTAACTATTGCAGAGTTTCAGTTCTCACATCAGTCTTGAAATCCATTTTTATGTATGTCACAAAGTAGGAATCCGGCTTCTTTCTTCTTCATGTGGGCATTCAATTTCCCTGGCACTATTGGCTAAGGAGACTGTCCCCAGTACCTGTTTTCAGCATTTTTTTTTTTTTTTTTTGGCCATTTGTTCCACTATGAAGATTTCACTTTAAGCCTTCTAATAGGCACATTAGACAGGCCCATTTGGACTGATTCCTTTTAAATACTTAAAAATTACATTCTCTCTCTCTCTCTCTCTCTCTCTCTCTCTCTCTCTCTCTCTCTCTGTGTATGCGTGTGTGTGTGTGTGTGTGTGTGTATGTTGGTGTGCATGTCACATGTACATGTGGAGGTCAGAGGACAAGTTGCAAGAATCGGGTCTGCTTGGTAGTGGTTCTCAACTAACTCATCAACTGCCATTGGCTCTCGCTATACTGAGCCCGGGTGTGCTGTAGACTCCATCAGGAAAATGTCTCTTTGTAGGTTCTTCCAGAGCCCCATGGCTCTCCCTTTCAGGCTCCAATGGCTTCACCAGCCTCTTTTTAAGCATGACTGCAACATGGGTTGCTGTTTAAATCCCTTGTGTTACTGTGTTTTCCTCAACCTTTGGGATGGTAATGAAGTCAGTGAGGACAGAAGGTAGTACCTTTCCCAGTATCATTGATTTCTGCCATACTTTAACCATACTAGACTGGAAAAGTGTCTAAGCTGGAACCTCAATCTTCAAGTTAGACCGACTTGTTTCCTGTGTATGTTAGAGTTCAGTTAGGACAGGGGGAAGGAGCTATGGAGTGTCACTCACTGGTGGCCGTCTGACAGCTACACATGGAGTTATTTTTCATTGTGCTATAGCAATGATATCCAGCTTCTTACAACAGAGAAAGATGTATACTTGCCTGGTACACATAGATCAGATCCACATAAGAGTTCTGGGGCTTCAGAGAACTAGAGAAGTCTGATTATCCACAAACTTCCAAGCACAACTTCTTCCCGATATACAAAGTAATCACACTTTGCTTAATGATGGGGATGTGTTTGCAGAAATGCACCATTAGGCAGTCTCCTCATTGTCTGAACATTAGTGTGTACTTAAACAAACCTAGAATGTATAGACCACTACACAGTGCTTATCTGATACACAGAGTTGAATACCTGATCTTTCAATTGATTGAAATGTTATTGGGTAGAGTTAGTAGAGTCCCTGCAAAAATGAGTCTTTGGTTTGCTGGGCAGTGGGACTGTCATGGATTATGGCAGCAGCTCAGGAGGGGGCCACTTTTAAGGACTGGCATCATAGTTCTCATCACACACTCTGAAATCAGACAGAGACTACAAGTCTCCATGTCATTTCCTGGCTGTGTGATGGCTTAACCTCTTAGACCATGCCTTTCCTGGAGGTAACAGAATATCTGCCTTGGAAAATGGTTTTGAGAGAACTTGTACGCACACCATTTGGTCCAGAGTTCTGGGTAGACTGTGTTTATGATTGGGATAATGAACCAGAAAATAATAATAATAATATTTTTGGTTGTATTGGCTACAAAACCTCCATCCTAAGGACTCAACTTAGCCAGTGGCATGAAAGCCAGCTTTTTGGAGCCTGGTGCCTATGGTGAGACACTTGGTGCAGGGAGGAGGGACTTCGACCTGCCTCAACTGAATGTACCAGGCTCTGCTGACTCCCCATGGGAGACCTTGCCTTGGAGGAGGTGGGAATGGGGGATGGGTTGGAGGGGGGGAAGGCTGAGGGGCAGGAGGAGGGAGGACAGGGGAAATCTATGGTTGGTATGTAAAATGAATAGAAAATACCTTAATAAAAAAAAGAAAGTGAATGAAGGGGCAAGAGAATCAGCCTAGGGAAATGGGCATCCCCATCAAGTTCTATGCACTGGTATTCTTGGAGGTAGACTTCATTGCATTCAGCTCCTGTGTCTTTAGTGAGGAAGTAGTTCTGTTGCTGAGAAAATGACTTTGGTTTGAAAGTCATGTCAGAGAGCCCAGCACTTACTTTTTACTTCCTGTTCCCTGGTCCTAGCTGTTCTCCACTCTCTCCTCCTCAAAAAAAAAATGACTAATGTTCCTAACCTTTATACACTCTGGCTCAGCAGCAAAGCACAGCACAGTGGCTGAAGTGCCTGTCCTTTGCCCTGGTTGATCACAGGAGACTAAAACTGTGGCTGCCACCCTGCCCAGGGTTGCCAGAGAGGACTGGATTCCATAGCTCTAGATCGGGGAGAGGGGGGGGGATCCAAATTCTAAGACAAAGTATGGTTCCTCGTGAGTAAATTGAATAATTCCAAACCATTGGTTAGTTCGGGACATCTCTGATCTACCCAATCGAATTCCTTTCTTTCCAGATTCTTTCAGCAGCATTGAGATCTCAAAGCTCAGGATCTCTGTCTTAGTTAGGGTTTCTATTGCTGTGAAGAGACACCATGACCAGAGCAACTCTTATAAAGGAAAACATTTAATGGGTGGCTTACAGTTTCAGAGGATTAGTCCATTATCATCATGGTGGGACATGGTGGTGTGCAGGCAGACACGGGCTGGAGCTGAGGGTCCTACATTTTGAAAAGCAGGCAACAGGAGGTGAACTGTCCCACTGGGCATGGCTTGAGCATATATGAGACCTCAAAGCCCACCTCCACAATGATATACTTCCTCCAACAAGACCACATTTACTCCAAGGCCATACCTCCTAATAGTGCCACTCCCTTTGGGGGGCATTTTTTTTTAAACCACCAATCTCCTATACACGTGCTTGGTGCTTAATCACCAGCTGCCCCCTGGGTATGCAGCAGCAACTTTCTACCCCAATCCTACTCTTCCTAGCACAGAAGGCCAGTTTTAATTATCTGTAAGAAAACCCATCATTTTGTGAGGGAAAACAAATGGCCAATGGTGCGAAAAGAGGGGTCTTCTGCAGGTCATCACAGCTGCCCCCAGTGACCTAAGCTTCCTGAGCTCCCCAACTGTCCACATCCATCTTCACATCAAACCCTGACACTTGTGGTGATTTGAGGAATTAACTACAAATGACCCAGAATGATGTTTCAAGACCTAATTAGTTGATTTTTCCCTTCCATGGCAGGTGTGAAGACCAAGGCTAGTGTAACATTAGAGTGGATGTGACTTAAAGCCTGGTAAGTGAGGAGAATAACAAAATTAATCAAAACACTTGGTACTAATGGTATATTAGCCTAAAACATGTGATTTTCTACTCGATATTTACCCCTGACATTTTTCTAAATGTGATAATTTATCAGGAAGAAAATGTGATCCAAATGTGACCTGCTTCTGGTTTCTGGCCAAGCTGTATTCCTGTGTGCACTCTGGAGGCCTTTGGTCACTGGGGATGCTCCTCCCCTTCCAGGCCTAGTGTGACTCAGTCTATCTGTCCCCAAAGGGCTGCATGGCTGCTCCCTCATTTGTAGGTGCAATGTTTCCAGATAAAACAGAGACACTTCTAGATAAATGAAAACATGTTTTATTTACAAGTCTATACACTGTGTACACATAAAAATATACAAAACCAAAATAGAAAATATCCAAGTGTTAAAATGTGTACAAACACTTTTAAAATGCGCTTCTTGGAAAAACCTCAAGCCATTAATTAGTTTGAAGAGAACACGTTTTGTTTTAAAAATTATCATACAAAAAAATTCCCCAAGCCTTTAAAAAAGTTCACTGGTTTCCAGCAGAAAGATCCCATAAGTATTTATCTAGAGCAAAACAGGGTGGGTGTTGTAAACTTAGGTTTTAACACTACTGTTGCATTTGCTTTGTTGAAATCTATTTTCCAGAGAATCAACAAGTGTTCTTCCCTTAATCTTGTAAAAGCCATGGGCAGTCAACACACTCTTCAAAATTCAGAGCTATATATCAGGCGTCTGACTAAATACAACACTAGGGTAATAGTTCTATGAATTGTACCTTTCAATGTTTTGGTCACGGTTTGTTAATGTGGCCATGGCATGTAGAATGTGTGTGTGTGTGTGTGTGTGTGTGTGTGTGTGTGTGTGTGTGTGTGTTCAGGGCAGAAGACTGGTTTATTTTTAGCAGAACATAAAATATTTGCTTCCTTCTCTTAAAAAATTAGTGTTTTAATAATTAAAATTTATTGTAAAGCTTTTATCATAAAGATGAATGAAAAAGATAATACAAAACCAACCATGTGTGTAGATAAGTATATATACAGTGATATAACTATCTACATGCACACTTCTATGCTAAGAATAAGAAATCTATCAGCAGCCTTAATTCTTCAAATGTCACTACCCTAGTCTTGTAGAGAATATACTGAGTTTCCTTTGTTATTGAAGGCTTCATTCACTTAACAAAACAAGAATCAGAACTTGCATTTTACTTTCATGAGCTGCTAGAGAAATGCTGCTTACTCACCAAGTGTCTAAACAAAGCCCAAGTGACAGAAATGCAAAATAATCTCACACTGGAAATATCCAGCTTTAAAGAGTGTGCTGAAATGCGGGCATATTTTACCTAAGCAATTCATGTCTAAACAGAGCTGCCTTGATCAGTCACATAGCCATGAAGTAGCATTCCAACTATCAGAAAGCCAGGAACTGAAATGGACAGTGTGATGATACAGGTCTGGAGACTAGTGCACCACGTGTCCTAAGAAAATCTCGGGCAACGTAAGTCACCAGTTCACACCAGAGTCTTTTATCATAGCAAAACTTATGGGAGACGATTTCACAAACAGGGCCCAATTAATCCAGAAAGTATGAGTATGGTCAGCTGGCAACGGGCTGAACTCTGCCCCAGCAGATGTACTAGCTCATAAACATGACAGAGTAAGCCAGGCCTTTTGACATCCAATTCTGAAAACACTAATGACTACTGTAGCACAGCTTTTGCTCAGATGTTACGGTTCCAATGACAGAGGACTACCAGAGAGTCCAGGTTGACTGGCTGAGGGACAAAGAGGTCAAGACACAAGCAAAGGGCCATTTCTGAAGCAAAGCGACTTGAGCTCAGAGATCAGGGATGAAAAAACACAGCAATGCGGATGTACGCAAGCCCCTAACTTGCCTATTAAAACACATCTTGGATGCCTGCATGCAACTTTTCAGTTGATGACTACTTGTCCTTCCAGAGTCTGCCAGAGAATTAGCTCTGTGAGACGTGGTGGGCATGGTCAGTCACATGGGCCCAGCCCTGATACTCTGAGGAATTGTCTATGGTTGAGCATCCTCATATACATTATCCCTTGCCTCCTGTGAGCAGCTAGGGACACAAGTTAGGGAGAATCTGGAAGTGACTCAATTGTTATTCTTGGTCAACACTGGTGTCTTTGCAACAGGAACAACAACAACAAGAAACAGAGTGCTGATATTTTCTTGCAATTCAAAGGAATGTGACATCTGTCACACCTGAGGGTAGAGGAAGCAGCACCTGGTGGCTCCTGGTGACACCATGAGGATCTAACCAGAGTCCCTTCACAGAAGAGGTCAGACAGTCCTGGAAGAGCCAGAGCCAGAGAGAAATGAGGTGGCAGGCCAGTTAGTGTTGCTTTTCTACAGCTGCTCTACCTTCACTTCAGGTTAGTAAATGTGGTGTGAAAGTATTTAATCAATGTCTGGCAAAATACTGCCACTTAGGACCCATTTAGTTAATACAAGAAGCGGCCATCACATTAGCCATCACTGTGTGACATTTGCAAGAGGCTAAGCTATTTAAACTTTTAAATACAAGAGTGCCCAGCCAACAGTATATTAATATGGGCACCACATTTTCTGAATGTTTAACAGACTCTGATTCCCAAGAGTCTTTAGGGCCATAATAAATTCAAAAAATTTAATTAAATTTCCTTTATGCTCTGCAGTCTCCTTGTAACCCCTGTAAAACTGAGAGCCGCCTTTTAAAAGTACATGTGTGACAACAGAATGCTATTTAACAACCTTTGAAGTGTTTTGTGGGGCTTTTGAACTTGAATATTTACACTGACCTCAATAAGTTATTCTCTAACCAAATTCTCATGCCACCAAAGGGGATTGTCCGGGATAATAAGTATGCCTGTAAGTGAATCCCCTTCAAGACTATAAAAGGAAACTTAATGGCTGTGAGCATTTAAAATGGCAAAGCCTGGAAGATCTAGAAATATCCAAGGACTCCAGGAGGAAATACGTATCCCATGCACACCAGCACTTCCTCCTCCAGAATTACAGACATGATTAGACATTTCAACATGGGGATAAGACCAAGCTTTTGTGGGACTGCACAGCTGGACCAGGATGAGCTGAAGGTGATGCTCAGCTGTGGACCTCAGAATGGGCTCTCAGCAGATGCTGTCATGACTGAAACCCTGACTCTTTTCACTTAACTGCTGCAGCCAGCCATGGGGGATGTCTGTATCCCTGCTTCAGCTCTGCTGGGGAGAATAACCAAACACAAGCTAGCAGTCTTAGAGAACTATGCTTCCTTAGGAAGCAATCCTTAGAGCATTCCGGAAAAAGTAATCGTGAAACAATTTTTTTCCCCTACAAAACTCTGGGAGCCACACATTTTGCAAGGGGGTTTGCATTTAATTAAGCTGCCATTGTCACTGCCAAGAAGTCTTAACTACACCACTGAGAGTCGTTTTGATTTGATATTGAAACAACAGCCTGTTTAATTACAGAATTCTAAAATGCGTCTCTTCACTATCTCCACTGAAAAACAAACAAAAAACCCACACAAAAGGATGTGTTGGTGACCAACGCTTAGGTTAAAAATCCGAGTACAGCTACACGCTGGGAAGAACCGTTTCTCCTGCCTGTGTATCTGCCATACATATATTCACCTTGTTAAAACCCATTCTGTGGCTCTACCACACCGTTAACATAAAACATGCCCATGAAAACAAAGTCGGATTCCTAGCCATTTGTCAGTAGAACTGCGGAACATTCAGAGGACAGGAGGGTCAAGTTTATAATAGCTGAGAAAAGCCTGCAGGAATTGCATACAGCACTGACAGGCGTGCATCCCCTGTAGCTCCGAGTGGGCACTCCAAATTCACTCTTTATTGTTTGGAAGGAACAAGGGTGTCCCCTGGCTGACCTGCAGAGACGCAGCAATTGCCCTGCGTGTTACTGGCTATGTAAGAGCTATGGGGTGCCTTTGCAGGCCAGGAGCATAAAGTGGAATAGCCAGGGCAGGGACACCTGACCAGTCATGACCTTGCAGGCCTGTGTGTGTGCCAAATGTTGCTGGCCAGGTACTGGATGCTGCAGGGAGACAAAGGAGCTGTTCTCTGCTGACAGCAGCGTTTGGCTAGGCTTCTTGGGATGGATGAATTGTATTTTTCTAAGCATGGCCTGGTTCTCTGTCATAACACCCAGAGAGCACTGGGAAGCAGAGCTTCAAAGCTGTGGTTGAAAATCCTGTGCCTGACAAGATATACGGAAGATATCACATCTGAGTAAGAATTCAGACATTTATCACAGAATCCAGGCTGGCTGCTTAACGAGGAATGTATGTACAAGTGACATGCTAGCTACAGACCTCAATTTGAATATTCCTAGATGGAAACAGTGTTATCAGTAGTATCATCCTAACTTCTGGCTGGAACCAACTGTGATAAAGAGTGTCCCTGCTGTAGAGGTTAACATGTTTAGAGGTATCATGCCCATGGGTACACAACTGTTTTCTTTCTATATATCCTGCTTTTGCTTCTTTCTTGGGTAGTTTTAAAGTTCCATTTCTATATTCATAGCAATAATAGTTACCCAATGGCTTAGACTAGAAAGAATTCTCATGGCCACTAAGTTACAGTTAAAGACAACACATTGCCTAAATCTATCTTCAAGTATTCTTTTGTGACTTTGAGGACAACAGTAGTACCTTATTGCACATCAATTCCCAAGAGTTCCATTTTAAGAGTATGTATTGTTGGGGCTGGTTACCGGGCAACGCAGGGCCTGGAAGCCTGGTAGTACCACCTTGCCCTTGTGATGCAAATCTGCTTGGGTGCCCATGTTCAGGCGTTGCACCAGGAGCTTTTCATAAAGCAGCGGATGGTATGCCCCCAGGGTACATGCTGCATCGTAGTACAGCTCATGGTAGTGGCAAAGCTCTGTCTGCCGGACAGATGGGATGTACTCATACACGTGTACCTCTCTGCACATGGACATCATGATGAGGATTCCTAACAAAGAAGGAAATGAAAATACAGTGAGTGAACAGTTGCAAGAAAGGAAGGACTTTTTATTTTTCCTGGGGAGGGTACATGGAGTTGTGGCCACTTACAGGGACGACTGTGGCGAGAGACACATACTTTACATTTGCAGTGTTACAGCCTCCGTTATGAAGGGTGGTTAATGGTGGAATGAGTACATAAAGATACAATACTGCACATAATCTTTCACTCCTTCAGCTATTACTGCAGACATACAACTGACAAACCAAGATAAAACTCAACGGAAGGTGGTCTTGCTCCAGTGTGTGATTTATAACATCTAGGTCACTCTTTTGTGCTACAGTCAACAAGTGTATCCCCAAAGGACTGCTATCTTCTGAAGAAACAAATGCTATAAAATGTGATTATGAAAGTTTATTATCAATGAAATATAAACCATTCTTCAGACAGTTCTAAAGTGGAATCCTACAGTGGAACAGCTCTATACAATGGAGAGTCAGGGTGTAGATTTTAAGATTTCTGCTAACAAAATTATGTTTCCTAGTCACATGTGATGGAGTACACCATGTAGCCTGGGCTACTTTGGGTCAGGAGGATTGCTTGAGCCCAGGATTTAGGGAGAAACTTGTACTCTCAGGAGTACGGTGAGTTAGAATACAGGTCTTGTGACAATGACAATAAGTTATGATTCTCATGAAGGCTGTCATTGTTGAAGCTGTTTTCAATTTTAAGTGTTTCCAGTAGACAACTACAAAACCTCATCATTAAATGATGTTGCTCTTTGCATAGGGTGGTTTTTCTTTTCTTTCTTTTCTTGTCATGTTATTTCTGTTACATTTAGCTTGTTCTGCAGAGGACTGCCATATTTTCCAAGAAATTAGCCATGCTTGGTCCACAAAAATCTAAAACCAAGGCTAGAAGTGTGGAGTGTTTCCCTAGCATGGGAAAAGCCTGAATTTGTCCCCAGCACCAGAAAACATAACTGATCCCAAATCAAATAAATTCTGTATGAGCTCTGTTGGGGAGTGGAGTGAAGGAATCTCCTTTTGCCAAGGGGGATCTGGAAAAGCTGAAGCTGAAATGGTTTCCTGGTAGGCAAGGGCTAGAGGGGAGCAAAGGGGTGCTGCTCCAGTGAGTACTCTGTCACTCTGTACTGAGAACCCTAGACCATGGCAGGGTTCTGTGATACCAGAGACTCCAGGGGAGGTCAAAGCTTTGTGTGACTCGTCAGTTCCTCTTCTTTCCTTCCCAGGTCTATTAGAGTTCTTTCTTCCACCACAGCACATGACTAGCCGGATGCCATCCCTGCTCTGGACCATCCTCAACTAAGTGATGTTGGTAAGGCCAATGGAGATTGAAGAGTTGGCACCTGCTACATGACCTTTGGGCACCTATCCACCAGAACATGCAACCCACACCACACTATTCTCTCCATCTGTGTGGCAGTAATGGTTCTGTGAACATTACTCTCCTTGGGCAAAATCACCAATAAGGGATTATCTTCTTTGAATCTGATGTGTCTCCTCCAGGCTCATGCCTTGAATGCCTGTTCCAATGACTGTGGTGTTATTTTGGGGTTGGTGGAATCTGCAGGACATGGGGATTCCCTAGCAGATGGAAGTCAGTAGGGGGCAGGTCTTTATTATAATCAGTCCCTGGTTGGGTACCTTCACGGCTTCATAGTCTGTGGCCACATGAACAGCAAGCAACATGCCCATCTGTCACCACGAACTGACCTACTCCATGATGCCTTTCCCACCATGATGTACAGAAACCCTGCTGAATCTGCGAGGCAGAATAAGTCCTTCCTCCATTGTTTCTGCCAGGTGTTGAGATACAGTGTTACAGTAGGAACCATTACAGGCATTGGTATGATGGGTGAGAAAGTCATCCACACACAGAAGATTTAATTATTTGTTCCTTGTCAAATGGGTACCTCTCTGATTTGTCTGATCTCAGCAGTTGAATTCCCAGCTCCAAAGTCTATGGAGCTGGAATGGAATGAGTTCTCTGGTCTAGCTGTGATTTTACCTCTGCATCACTCACTTTCAGTTACCCAAGGTAACTGTGCAGATGTGTCTTCGCCTCAGTGATTAACAGCCAACTGGGACTTTATATGCTAGGGTTCCATACTTACGGATTCAACAGGACATATTCAGAAAAAAAACAAGTCTGTGTTTAACATATACAGACCCATTTTCTTGTTATTATTGCCTACAGGATAAAGGGTAAAGGCCATTTATATACTATTTCCCTTATATTAGAAATTATAAAAATCTAGAGATGATTAAAATATATAGGGAGAAATACAGATTTCATGCCAATAATATATCATTTTGTACCTAGGACTTGAGTTTTGGTGTCCATAGTATCCTGTAAACTCCCCACAGATACTGAGGGACATTCTTGTAGCTTCAAAAATTTCATTCATACAAAGGCACCTTAGGACCCATCAGCTAGTTACCGTAATATAGGTCATTAAAAAAATACTGTTTCTATGCATCAGTAATGCAGCTGCACCCATGAGGACAGGTATCTGTTCTCTGTATCCAAACTGTGCTGTTTATATCTTTGGTTCTTTTCTTATTTTAAAATTATGTGCATGTGTGCACATGTATGTAGGTTTGTGCACTTGAGTCCAAGTGCTTGAAGAGGCTAGAGGTACTGGATTACCTGGAGGTGGAGTTACAAGTGGTTGTGAGCCTCCTGATGTGAGTGCTGGGAATCAAAGCTAGGTCCTCTGGAAAAAACAGTACATGTCCTTAGCCACTGAACCATCTCTTTAGCCCTATATCTCTTGTTCTTAAACTGAATAGCTTTCCAAAGCCAATGCCATGCTAAGAAGAGCATGCTGATCACACAGCTGGCCCTGGGCTTCCCAGTAAAGTAGCAGCTCCCAGACCTGACAATGAAAAAGAACTATTCAGGCAACTGACCAGGCAGTTGCTGGAAGTCATCTCCGTGCCCAGAACCTGGGCTTCCATTGGTTTGTGTGTGGGGCAAACTCTGAATCTTTAACAGGCATTCCTAGGCTAACTGTAGGAAATGCCCAATTTAAAAAACAACAACAACAACAACAACAAAACAACAACAACAACAACAACAAAAAAAAACAATCTGGCTGGTCACAGACCAGAGCATCAGTATAACACGATAAGGATGGATTATTAAAGAAATGATACTGAGCCTATGTCAGACCTGCACACTATTCAAGATGGAGTAAATGATGGATGCTCCTGGCACAGTGATCTGCTGGTCATGCATGCTTTAAGGCTCAAGCTGGTCTAAGACACAGCTCTTTGAAGAATGGCCATGAAGGGTCTCTGAGCTCTCCCAGTAGAAAAGCAAAAACCTGTTGCTGGCAGCTAGACCAGATCTGAACAGATGCCCCACCCAAGTAGGAATGACTATAGGCACTTTTTGTAGATGTCCCTGTTGTTGTTTTAGTCAGGGAGAAGAGATCTAACAGACTTTTGTTAGAGTATTCTGGAGAAAACTTCACTCCTGTTGCTAGTTGGCTGCTACATTTAAATTCCTATCTCTGTTAAATGTGGAGTATATATTTTGTCCTAAGCCTAGGCAAAAAGTTATGCTTTTAATATAGTAGGCTGTATATGTATTTTCTTATATAAATTCTTTGTATCTTCAAACAACTTCAAGACTTCCAGAAATAGAAAAACTGGTCAGTTTTTCCAAAAGTGCCCAAACTAAAGGTTGATGGAGGCTATGCCAGTGCAGGGATCTGTCCTGAGTTACCTGCACAAAGCCTTCTGAATTCTGCCTATAGACAGAGACTTAATGACAGTGCTTTCCCATTTCATTCTGCATTCTCATGTGAACTTGTGGCTTCCTGGAACTATGAACTTGGCCAGAGTGCCCTAAAGTTCAAGTAATAATCAATCTGCCCACAGTGTTTATGTGGCAGCCAGCTGAAGTATGGATATCATAACTGGTGTGGAAGTACCTTCAAAGAGAAAGAAAGAAAGAAGTAAATATTAGTTTACCAGGTACATGGGAAAGATGGGCTGGGAGACTTAATGTCCTAAAGAAAGATTATTCCTTAATAATTTAATCATTTAGGAATCATCACAAGTAATTATTTGGCATATACATACTTTGTCTTTTTACTTTCTTAAGGCTATTGTTAATATATACATTTAGATTCTAGACTCTGCCACAAGATAAATACTGAAAATCATCATAACAAGTTTAAATTTATATACCATCTACCTAAGTTACTAGTACACAGCAATAAACCAAAACCTGAATAATATACTTCTTTAGAGTTTGCAGAAGGAACTAATGAGACATCAGTGATGGGAGATTGTGACAGCTCTCCATGGTTCAGAGCATGTGTGTGAGGACAGGGCATGTAGGAATAGGGACTGCAAAGAGGTAGAGCAGGACTTAAGGGCAGAATCATTTGAGTGCTGTTGGAGACCACTTCAATGAGTACCCAATTTTATAAGGGTAGGTACTATGAAAATCACTAGGGCTTTAGAGAAATGCCTTTGAATAAATGAAAGAACTCATACTTACATGCAAAGATGGGGCTAAGCCCATTTTTAGGATGACTTGGGAAAGTGTCTCAATATATGCTGAGAAAAATATTTGACTTCCACTGGAGAACCTCTTGGGCAGGGCTGTGACGACCTGAGCTTCTACAACTAATGTCAGAGCTACAGCACTGGGCTCCCTTGTCCTCCGACTGACTTATAAGCTACAGTGTTGGAGTCTCACACACCTCTACAGTTGATGACTCACGAGGGAACTGACAGGATCTAGCACACATCTCCACTACATCACAGCATAGGACGCATGTAAAAATCAGCAAAAGAGAAGCTCAGGGAAAGCCAGACACAAGCTTCTGTCACCTTCTTCCAGGAAGTCACACAGGATGCTCTTCACTCCTCCAGCAGTGAGTGTGACACCTGCTGAGGACTGAAGGCATCCCCCTGAAATTCATCCCTTGAGATCCTCACTCTCAGGTTGGCGGTGATGGAGTGATT